AGTAGATCTGCCAACTCTCAGACCTGTGACTTGATTCTTTTGCTTATAATATCAAGACTTCAGACTAGGCTTTTAAAGCTCTTTTTTTTTTCTTTTTTTTTTTTTGGAGGGGTTTTCATCTAATTGTAAGAATTGGCAGACTCTTTCACACTTGGCATACAACCCTCTATATTATTCTTATGTCCAGGTCAGCAATTTTGTAGCTCGTGTGTATTAGTGTATATTCCTTTATTGCAACACCTTTTAAAATTTTTGTTGGTAAGAGTATTTTCATTCTTTTGATACTATTTAAAATGAAGTTAAGTCAGTAGCAGGAAAAATATTATCTTGAGTGTGTAAGTCAGCTAATGATAGTGTTGACCATTCCTCATAGCAACAAACCTATTTTTATTCTTTGTTAAAAAAAATTAGAAAAATTTTTTAATTTTGAAAGTAAAAAAGTGAATGCAAAATGTTCTTACCAAATGCTAAATCAGGGTCTCAGTCTGTTTTTATACTCTAAAATAATTTGATTTTTCAAGTTTTACATGTAAAAATATTAGTTTGATAAATTTTATTAGCGGAGTGTTTTAATAAATTTTTTTATTAATATTATTTATCTTGAAAATATTAATTTGCTTATTATGTTATGTGATGGTCACAAAATGTCGCATGTTTTTTGAATTTCTGAGGTTAGGCTTTCTAAGGTACTATTTTTTTTTCTTAGCAGTTTCCACTTTTTTTCTTCAATAGGTTCAAACTTTTTGTTACCTTTATTTTGTATTTTGCTCCTCCTTTTTTTTAAAAAAAAAAGAACAAACAAGAATTATATTCATTGTCATTTTTTTGTTTCAGGCATTCTCGTAAAAGGTGGGAAAGATTTGTTCACAGCGATAATCAACACCTTGTTACACCCGAAGCTCTGGACTTTCTGGACAAACTTTTGCGTTATGACCATCAAGAAAGATTAACTGCCCGTGAAGCTATGGAACATCCCTATTTCTGTATGCATTTTTAAAACATTAATTTCTATATACAAGCATTTAAGACAAATGTGTTTACTTAATTTTAAAGAGCTTTGAGAAATCTTTTTTTTTTTAAAGTAGATAATACTGTGAAGCCTCCCTCACATTACTTACAAGTTCTTAACAGAAAACTTCTAATTCTTCTGTTCTAAATAATGTTCAGTTCTGTATTAGAAGTCTTCTGTAACAGATTACTTCTAATTCTTTTGTTAATAACTTAGTAAAACGTAATATAATCCCTCCCTGTAACCGATACTGCTGGTTGGAGTTTTCATTTCAACCAGCAATGACATTTACAGAGTGAAATGCACTGTAGTTAAGTAACAAAGCAAAAAATTCTTGAATAAATATACTTTTATTTGAGGACCATGAATATGTTAAATTTGATACACTACCCATTTCAAACGCACATGGCGCAGCACAAAATCCACTTCCATGAAAGATTCTAGCTTGGTAGAAAACATAGTGAAGGAGCAAAGATTTCTGTAAAATACTTATTGATTGATTGTTAGATTACTTATTGATTGATTGCTTTTTTTGCAATCTGTTTCTACAATCGTAATTTATATTTATTCTTATCTTCAGTAATATATACAGTCAAACCCCGCTATAGTGAACACGGCTTATAGTGAACTCCCGGATATAGTGAACGAAATGCTCGGTCCCGTGCCTTGCTATACACGTATAATGTTATTTTTNAAAAAACCTAATGATAAAATTTATGAATAAAAAGAATTAATTTATTGAGTGCGAAATTTATCGCGAAAAGAAAAAAAATCAAACGTAGTGGAATCAGAAAAACAAAACTGTAATCTGCTTCATAAAATAATCTTATGTTTAAATTAATAAACAATTCTCCTTTTTTTTTTTTTTTTTGTTGATAAAAACAAGATTTTTAATCACAGCAGATGTGATTCCACAGCAAGAAAAACTTGCAATTGATACCGCAATTCCAAAGAATGAGAATTGATTCAAAAGAAAAAGATTTTATTTTTATTAGTCAATGTCAAATAAATATATATTTTTCTCTTTTCTTTTTCTGTTCACTGATATGCATGCAATGCATTTTCCCCACCCCCCTCGTAAATCAAGCAGAAAACGAAATCAGCATGCCACACCCTTGAGTTTGATTGAGGGCCTAAAGAAAAAAATAAAAGATTCCTCCCTTCCCTGCCTTCAAGGTCACGGAGGAAATGACGTTTCTCTGGGTAAACGGGGAAAAAAAATTTCCCCTTCCTTACATTTTCCTCTACTCAACTTCAAGGATGAGTCCTATTTCCGCTTTTTCGTTCTAGTTTAAAATGGCGGGAAAATCGAGCAAAATTTTTCCCGGTTTTCTGGTTTCCCGGTTATCTGGATACCGGATAAATGGTTCTCTACTGTATAAATATATATATAAATATATTTAAAAAAAGCCATTTAAGTAATTTAAAAGTCAAATGTTTATATATTAAATATGAGCTTTTACTCTGAGGTGCTTTATCTAGATATATTTCAAGAAGTGATAAATTTTTGTCGGATTAAAAAAATTTTTTCATCAATGCATTTCTGATGAGTTTTAAGAAAATAGTCCTGCTCTTTGATTTTGTGATAATGGAATCCTGTTATCATTCCTATTTAACCAATATGAAACATATTTAATTTTAAATGTTTTGCCATTAATATTGAATTTTTTTAAATACTTGATTTTATTTTTTTAAATCCTTAGTGGTGGTTCATTTCTTATTGCTATTATTATTTTTTTTTAATTTGTATTTTTATTTTGGAGTTCTTATCTTTTACTAATTTACTATTTGCATATCAGTTTGGTTTGAACTATACCCTAGCAAATTTCCAAGTTGTGCACTGATAATGTTGGAATGTTAGTAAGATAATCCTGGAAATTTTCTAAAAGATTTTAAAATTAGAAATTTTTAAGTAAACATAAATAATTCAGTATTTCTAAAAGAGTTTCTCTAAATCAATTTTTTAAATAAGCCTTTAAAATAATTTCCTGCTTCAAAATAGTTGTAACATTTCTGACAAAGACAGTCCCTAATGCTTTATGCATTATGTACTCAAAAGTTTTGTATAGCTTATAAGAGTCATACTTGATATTGTATTTATAACTGGCTGGAGTCTAAATTATTTCTGTATTAATATATTTACCAAATCTTACTTCCAGATGCCATAGTTAAAGATCAACAAGCTAGATTTGCAGAAACTCAACGCATGTCTGGTCACAATTCACCCCCACCAGCCTCTACTGTTGGTAAGCATAGTTGGAAATTTTTATAGAATTGATTATTAATAATCATATATTGTTTGATAACTACAATAACTTCCTCAAACTTGAACAGGCTGTTGCTACAGTGATAATGCTAGATTGTATTAAATGAAATTTTTGGAAAGCATTTTGTTTGATATTGTTATAGCAAGCAGACCACAACTTAGTAGTTTTAATAACTGCTGGACCTATAAGCTTCTGAATCAGCTTAATTTTCATTTTTACCATTGTTTTAATGAGTTCTTAATGAATGCATATTATTAAATTGGTACATGATTAAGAATTTTTTAAAAACATTCGTATGCTTGTTTCCTTTTGGATTTCAGCTGCATGTCCTCTTTTGGACTTTGTGCCACTAAACCCTACATTCTATCCAATCCTTTTGGATTTATTTTAATTTAGGGAAAAATCAATTTTTGTTTTATAACACTTGTTGTTTGAGATTAAGTTAAAATATCCTGTTATAAGTATTCTGTTACCATTGTATTTGAGTTTTTTAAGTGTAATCAAGAATAAGTCCCCCCCCTTTTTTTTCTTTTTGCTTTTTGATTTAATAAAAAGAAAAAATATTTTGTCTTTTCAAAGAAAGCTTCCCTTTATCAACAAAAAAAAAATCATTTACCTTTTTATCTACCTATGTAAATGGAATTTAAGATTAAACATCTCGATTCTTATTCACTTGATTTTAAAATCAAATATCGGGATTCATATTTGCATGATTTTTAAAAGAAACATAGAGCGCCAATATTTTTTATCGAAACGTTGAAAATATTCATCATACTTGCACTTTTTTCTTTCTGAAATTCGTGATAATTTTCAATTATTTAAAATGTGTTTTCTTACTAAACCCTTTCCTGTGTAATTTAGAAAGAATTTTTATATTTTATTACAACTAATATGTGTCCTATTTAATCAAAATAATATATATATATATACTGAGAATATGAATGTAAAGTTGCCTTATGTGTGAAATTATTTTTGAGTCCCAGAATAAGACAGACCACGGTGTTAGAATATGGTTGTAGTGTGTTTGAAAGAAGCTACGTTTTTTAAGTTAGAATTAAATAAGTCACTTCTAGGTGTGTTAAAATTATATCTTGATGTACTATCACAAAATTATTCCCAACAAATATTACTTCTTTATTATGACCTTTAGTTAAGCTTCTGCAATTTTTTAATAATGTTCTCCTTCAAGAAATTTTCATGTCAGTCTGAATTTTTCCTTAAAAAAATGTGTATATTTAATGACTGCTGTTTGGCAGAAAAAATCTTTATAGAAAATGCTATGTATTTATGTACTTCTTTTTTCATTCAGTTATTAAATCATATTTAGTTATGTTTGTAGTTAAAGGAGTTACTGAAACAAAGTTCACAATTGTGTTCTAATTTACTTATTTTAATATTTGAGTTGTATATTTCAATTTGCAACCCTTAAATAAATATTGCATACATAAGTGTCAAAAGCCCATTTAGATCACCACATTGCATTGAAAGAATTCCAATATTTAGATGGAAAACATTCCAAAAATCGTACAAGTAGGATTATTTATTATTAAAATTATTATTTTTTGTTGAAAATTATTTATTTCTAGCATTTATTTTACAAAAGATTGATATGTTAATACTTTAAAATTAAAATGAATTTAAAAAGAAATTTTGTATTTTAACTACTGTTAATTTTAATTGTTTTCAAGTGTAGTTTTTTTTTATTTATTTATTTTTATCTTTATTTCTGCCATCATTATCGATTTTAGGATTATTAGATGATGTATTTTAATATCATTTTGTTTCTATTTAGATTTTTTTTGTGAATTTTAATTATAAAGTAAATAGCTTTCTTAATAACTTAAATAATAAAAAAACAGTTACTTATTTGATTTGGCAGATATTTATAATTTGTACGAATCGCGCGATCGGAAATAAAATTCATTATTTGAAAATTGTGAATCTTTTATTTGCTATTCTCCTCAAGCTTTAATACTGATGTTTGTCAATCTTTATTTCCAATAAAGTTATTGCATTTTTCAAAGCGTTTTAATAATAGCTATCTTAAAAAAGTACTTGCAGTCTTTTATTGGTAATTGCGTTAGGTAAATTTATGAAGTTAAAAAATCTGTGTTTAAAAATAAATAAATAAATAAAAATTATTATTTCCTATAAATAATTCTTATCGTCATTAAGTTTTCAGGGAAAAATTAGATATCAGTCAAAAGGGCAAAAGGAGAAAGAAAGAAAATTACAGAAATGAGGGTAAAATAAATAAAAAATTATATTTTATTTATTAAAATACTGAATTAAAGTTATTGTTTTTATCATTTACAGTATCAATTTTATTAATTATTTATGCCATTTAACCTTATAAGTTTTTTTATCTAACTTTTTTTTAAAAAAAAAGCCAATTGCTTAATATAATATTTATTGAAATTAATTCCAGTTCTTGTAAAAAACATTATATGTTTGCATGGGTAAGACCAAATTGTTTTGTGAGTTTTCCTTATGAGTACTCTTAATTATTTTTTTAAAAAAGTGAATGTTGATAGAAAATTTGGTAATTAAATTAATTGAAGGTATAAGCGCAAGTAGACAATGTTCAATATTCCTTTTTATTATTATTTTTATCTATCATCTTCAAACCTTTTTGGATATACCAATAAAAAATTCAGCTTTGTTGGTTGACTAGTGCTGCAAAAGGCCCTTTTTTAAGCAGTAATAATTTACAACGATTAAATTGTCCCCTTCTTGCTCTTCATTCAATTATTTTAAAGTGGTGATCTTTTAGGGCAAATTTAGAAATTATCTGATTCAAAATTCTCTTTCTTTGGTGTGTTGACTCATGTGTGTTTTTTGATCTAAACATTATGAATAATATTACCTTTTTAATCATCTTCATTAGGAAAATCTATTTCAACTTGATTAAAATTATGTCAGAATTATTTCAGTGCCTCATTAAATAATATCCAATACGGTTTTATCATGCTCTCGACCTACAGTGAGGAACACATTTTTCACCCTTTTTTTATCATTTCTTCTCTTGTAAACATAGATAATAATCCAAAAATGAAATGAGAAATAAATAATATATTGTACCCGATATACTATATATGTTTTTCTCATTATGCATTTTAATTAATGTACCCTGATAAAATAGATATCTGATGGTTATAAATCAATAATTATTTTTTTATAAATTCTTGATTTTCCTTCACTTCAAAAATTAACCAATAACTTACAATTCATAAAAAAGGTGTATTTTTTTATTTAACTATACAGCTTAAACTATTAAAAATGATTTCATCAGAGGATCTGCATTTTAAGACAATATCCTACTTGTAAACAAAATTCTTAAACTTTTCAAAAAGTACTCAGATATGCTAACTTGTTTCTTATCTGATGAAATTTTGTCTAGTAGTAGCATAATTTATGTTTTAATCATTGATTCTAGTTTAGTAAATTTGAAGATAACTGATTTTGCATTGCATTGAAATGATTAAAATATATACAAAATAAATTTTTTTTCCAATTATTTTGTATTGGGACCATAAAGAAATAAGATTTTTCAAAATTAGCAGGATTCAGAAAAATGTTAGTGCTAAATACCCTACTTCTTTTTAAAATTATTCTGCTAAAAGTGATTTTTTTAGGAGTAGCATTAAATCTATTTCGTCTTATTCTTATTAGAACAAAACAAAACAAAAAGAAATTTTGAGAAGAAGTTCAAATTATAGAACATATCTTGACCTACAAATAAAATATGTTTGAAAAAAAAACTTTTTTCCTCCTAAATTATCTTTTTATTTTTATTACATGGAGCTTTTTTTTCATGCATGTAATAAATTTCTAATTAATGAAAAGACAAAAAAAAAAAGAAGTGACTTTTTGTCAGACTAATAAAAAATATAATGTATATACGCTTGTGACCTCTTTTTTTCCCCTAATATTTTCTTGCGTGGGAATTTAAAATATACAAATTAAAACATTAGACCATGTTTTTTTCTAGTATTTGTTGCCTGCATGATATTAAATTGTCGCACTGATGTTTATTAATTTAATCACTAAAATAATTTAATAGCTGACTGACATAAACTTGCTTTCATCTGTGTAGGGAACAAGGATTCACAACAAATGAACAATGGGTCAGAACTGACGGCACGGATTGACTTGGACCCCCTTTTTTAGTATTAATAGAAAAAATCCGAGAAATGAGACTTTTTCTTATTTCTCGGATTCAGACTTTTGGTTATTCTGCTCTTTTATTTACTTATTATCTTAGTGCAAGCCTGAGTTTGATTGCTTTAAAATTATGGCACCGAGTTCAGTTCTTTCGTGCAAATGTAATTTCTTACAAATTGACCCCAACATTTCATTTTTTAGTCTCTGTGGTCAACTATGAAAAAAAAAAGTTGTGCCTCCTTGATGCAGATGTGTATACTATTTAATTGAATGTTAAGAAATAGCGATAAGCAGCTGGTGGGTCCAAACGAATTGCGTATCTAGGGATTGATTATTTAAATTGTCGAATTAATCCCATCAATCCTGTATCATTCCTCCTACTGCACATATATCTTGAATTTGACATTAAAACTACAACATTTGATTTTTTTTTTAAATAAATAAATAAAAACAGTTATTTGATTTTAAGCCTTGTTTTTAGACAAAAAATATAGCGTGGAAAGAAGAACTGCAGTAAGGATGAAATTTAAAGATAATAATAGAGTTGAGTGGTACCTATTTGCTTTTTATACAAGAAAAGTGATAGTTGGCATCAAGTGAAAATATGGATAAATTCATTGCAGAATATTAAAAAAAAAAACAAATAAAAAATTTAATTAGTAATTTGTAATATGCTAAAATATTGCATTGTTTTTATTACCTATCCTATGCCTGGAAAAGCTATAAAACAAAATTTGCAATAGCCAATTTTTTAGGATGTTAACTTATCTAGATTTATTGTATCAGTGTAGATCCTTATAATCAATGTGCTACTGTATTTAAATGTGTATTAATGTATAATCATAGTTTCTCTTTGGTATTAAATACAAATTTAATTAAAATAGGAGTCATTATTATTCTTGTTTTAATACTGCAACAAGACTTGAAACTGCATGGCCTATGCTAGGGTTGAACATATATAATTATTATTTTAGAAATAATAATAATATTCTTATGTGAATTCTAGTTATTTCAAGTGTAATTTTTTTTTTATTTCAGCCAATGCATCTTTAAGCTCCAGCACCATTACTGGTATGCCTACATCGCCCATCTCTTCTCCAAGCATCACAATACAACCGAATTCCACAGCAGCCCAATCTTAAAGATACTTTATAAATAGCTTTCTTCCTTTTATTTCTAAAGAGCATTTTCTTTGCTCAGGCAAAGTTTTTTTTCTTTTTTCGATTGTTTATTTAAGACATACAGAAGATAACAGTTATCAACCTTGCCTTTGCCAAATTTCTAAGAGCAGCTGAGTCAAGTGACATCTGAGACTTAAATCATCATCAAGCAGCGGGTAAAGGACAAAAGCGCTATCGATGGATTGGTTGGTCAAGCATCCAAGATCTCTCATTGATATTCAGTGTTTATTTAAGTGTTAATTTTATTCACTCTTCTGCTTTGTCATTTAACAAACATTGCTGATTAAAATGAATTCCATTGTTAAAATTATGTCCTCTGTTAGTTTCACTGTTGAGGGATCATTTTTTTAGCAGTCATCTAATAGTTCAGAAATTTAGTAAAGTAATCTCTAAACCATATCTCTTCATTAGTCACAAAAGTATATTACAGTGCTATTTTTACCAATCGATTACCAAACCTATTTGTTTTGAATAAATTAAAAAAGAAAAAATATGCCGTTTTATTTAAAAGTATTAGTATTCATGAACATTTATGTAGCAATAAAACAAAACAATTTCCTTTTGTGGTTCTTTTATTATATTAATTTGTTCAAAAATGTAGATTGTTACGTATAGTGTTCATCTGTAAATGGAGGTTAAAAAAATAAAATAAAAGGTGACATTCTTTACAAAGTAGTATTATTTGTGTCAAATCACTGCTTTCCTTCATGGCTGTAAAAATTACTAAAAAATAACAGCAAACCTTACTTAAATTTTTTCCATTGATTTGTACCAATAAGTTTATAAATCTGAATTAGCTTTAGAATAGAGGATAAGGACTATGTCATCATTTAATGTTAATACATACATACATAGGAAAAGAAAGCTTAAAAGGATAAGGATTTTTTCTCATATTTAATTTTGTTCTTGCTATCTCGTTATTGAAAGGTAGCATCATTTGCAATACTACATAGTAAAATTTGTGGAAACCTCCTGATTATTTTGAGCTGTCTTTTAAAAAATACAAGAACTTAGAAAATTGCTTGCATTTTTTTACATTTTTTCAATTAGTTTCTCAATACAAAATAATGAGAAAATTATTTTTATAATAATAAATTTCAAAATAATTTTAAATTTAATTAGACCTCTTTTTAGAGTTTTGGTCTTTTTCTTAATGATTTGAAAATCAGTTTAAGAAAGTGTTACAATTACCTTAAAATTGTGATGTATACTAACTTCAACCTCTCCATTTTATTCAAGTTGTTGAAAAGGTAGTTATTCAGAAATCATTATCATGATTCCTTAACCTAGGCATTATTCATTAATTAAGGTTAGGAAAGTCAGCAACATTAGAGCATTACAACTCATTTTCTTTTTGAACTTATTTTATATTTCCTGATTTTTGTATCTTTTATTTGGCAATCTTTTATTTTTTTGATTTAATAAACAGAAAATCAAACAGGTTATTTTTTTTCTTCAGGATCCACAGAGTTTCACTTAATTTTGAATTATAATTGGATTCTTGTTATAGCTTGCTATATCATGTTATAGCTTGATATTTGAAATTAATTAATTGCTTTGTTTTTTAATAAAATTATTTTTTTATTATTTTAATAAATTAACAGGACCTACATTTCACATAAAAGTCAAATGTTTGATAACTATTTTGCACTTATTTTGTTACATTGCAACTATAGATTTAGGAACGTTTTTCTACTCAATCATTTTTATTAAACTACATCCAGATTACAAGACACTACCTTAGCCTTAACTACAGACTTCAAAAATTAATGAATCAAATTTTCCCAGCAAAGATGATTCCCAAGCTTATAGGAATAAAATTTAAACTTAATCATTTTTCTTCTATTGCAACTTCGTCTGCTATTTTTATTTTTTAAATTGCAGTTTAATTTTTGTTTAATATAATAACTTGTTATTAATTGTTATTGTTAAATTTTCTTTTGCTGAAAAGGTTTTTTCAAATAATATATTAGTTTTGAATTATTTCAATTACAAATGATGACTGGAAACTGCTTACATAAAGCTTATTTACCAATGTGACTGGGTTGATGAGTTACATGCCGCTTAAAAAAATTTTAGCATAAAAATGCTGTCTAATAAGGTAATACTACAAGGCTACTATATGTTAAGGAACTTTTTTTTTAGTTTTAATTCTTTAATTTGTAAATAAATGACTGTTTTTGGAAAAAAATTCAGTTAAATAAGAAATTAGATATATAGAAAAAAGTACCTAGATATTTCTTTAATTTTTCACTAAAGAAGCAACCAAAGAAATTTGTGATTTAAGGAATCGTACCATGCAACTTTTTGGTCAATTGAATGTGCCAACAACAATAGAAACTGTTATATATGCTATTTAAAGGGAAATAAAGCATTTAGTTAATTTGTTTCACTCATAAATTATCAATAAGTAAAACAGCTTTGTCCAAAAATTATAAAATTTCTAAAGCGTGGTCCATAACAAATTTAATTTATATTAAACTAAGCTTGACGAGAAAATAAAACCGACTGGAAAAAGTGTATTGCGATTGATTTTATCTATATTAACCTGAGATAGGACTTGATTGAGCATGGTATAGTTAAGAAAACTCTTATTTAAAATTCTAGTTCAACGTTTAACATTAATTCTTGAAATACCTTACAAATAAATATTTTATAAATAGAAAAAGAAAATAATTCAGCTTTACCGAATATATTGCAAGAATGTCCGAAAACCAATTATTTCAATGAAATACATCAATGTGTTCTTTAAGCTGGTATTTTTCTTATAAATGAAGTAATTTCAATCATAATCTGATTAGATGTACTAAAACTGTCTAAATGATCTGACGTCATAATTTTTGCTCTTGTAATAAAATTTCTATTAATTTAAGCATAGTAACACATGTGTATAAATAAAAATGTATTTGTCACTTTTCATAAGCCGCAATATGTTCTTTATAAGAACAAAGCATTCACATGCATGTCCTAATTATACGCACATAAAGCATGTTGTTAAAAATAGTTGAATGCATATCAATTCATGTAAAGTTAATTTAACTAAAATTGAATTATTAAGTTTTCAGCTTCAGTTCTTTAAAGTCTGTTTAACAATAACACTGGGGAGAAATTGTTTTTTCTGTTGCATGAGATTTTTTAACGGAACTTGGATGTTTTAACATCACTGATTTCAAAATTCCAAGTTTAAGTTTTTTTCTGTTTTTTTTTAAAAATTTTAAATGATATTCTAGTCTTTTTTTGTCGAAATGTACAATTTTAAAAAAGTTACATATAACAGGGGGGTCATACAAATGTTGCGACAAATTTCTAAGGAAGTTAGGGCACATCATCAAGATTAAAATCTGAAATAAAAAGAAGCCCTGCCCTGAAATGTCATCATACGCCGCTAGGGGCGCTTCCATAATATGAATTATTTCTTAGTGTGGTTCTGAACAGGTCATAATAGAGGAAACACTCCTTGCCGCGTATGATGAAATTTCCTGACATGGGTTTTTAGAAAATTTTAATCCTGATGATGTGCCCCAACCATGATTCATACGCACACGGAAAAATTTAAAAGTGATAGTAATTTTAATATATACATATTTTTTAATACTATTATGTTTGTAGCAACCAGAATATTTTATTTTCTCTGAGTAAATATTTGTCCTTCCGAAGATGGTGGATATGAAATTTTAATTCAAAAGTGGAAGTTAATATTAAGAAATTTGAAGTTTCTTAACAAAATTGATACCAGTGTTTAATTTTTTCCAGGTGCGTACGAACCCTGCTAACTTCCCTACAAGTTTGTGGCACATTTACGCTAGCCACTGTTATATATGACGTTTATTAAACCCAAGCAGCAAAATAACTTGGGTCCTCATTGGACCATTATTTATTAATCTTAAATCAAAAAGGGTAAAAATGCCGATATCGGCCCTGTATAGAATTGTCCATTTCACCCGATATTTTACAGTCACTTTTTAACCAATATCGGTTGTAAATAGGATTGTTTATTCCAATATTTTCCCCTCAGTGCATGTTCTTTTAAGGCCTATATTGAGCTTAACTAGGGGCCTTGTACATTTCGCCTAAAAATGTCATTAAAAAAAAAAAAACTTGCTTTAAGAACGAAATTAATTTCAGATTTAAAATTCCCACACCCGAATTAGGCAAGATCAATTATGTATTTGTATCTATGCAACAAAAAGTTTGTTCCCCGTTGCAATTTAATTTTTGTTTTTGTTTTGGAATAATAATTGTAGTTATATATAAAATTTGGAAACTTTGGACATTTTGAAGGGAAAAAAAATGGTTTGTTAAAAAAACTTTGCAGAAAAATGGAATTTTAGCAGTGAGGCACAATCAATTTATTTTTTAATAGTTATACTTATTTAAAATTGTAATTTTAAGAAAAAGTTATCTTGCTGCAGATGTTTTTAAGGTAATGTCTATGTATTTCATGGCAATAGCGTATATTTTTTCAAATGTCATTGAGCTCACTAAATGCTTTTTTTTATCTAAAAAATAAATTGGGGGGAAATAAAAAATTGAGGAAGTTCTTAAATTTAGAATTTTCTACTTATTTCTGTCCTTTTCAAAGAACTGATATTTTAGGGAAAGATAGTTTTAAATTCGGGCATACGTGTGAGAAAGAAAAAGTAACTAATATTGTAGGCAGTAGAGTTGTCAAAAGCTTTCAGTCCCATAATATTAACTTCACATTTTGTGTTTTTGGTCAAAACTAATTGTTTAATTCAAATAATTCTGATTCCGTAATCTAATTAATAGTTAGCACTAATTAATTAGCATATTTGAGTTTAAATTTTTGAATCATTAAGAATGGGCTTTTCAGTTGTGAAAATCCCTACATTGGAAGAAAAAAAATTTATTCAAGGTCCCCCCCCCCCGAAAAAAACGGATTGCTTTGAATAACTTGATCTAAAGATCGTATCTTCACGTTCTAGGACTCAATAGTCCGAGAGTATGATCTCAAATATGCTAATTGATTAACGCAGACGATATTTTACATTACGAAATTAGACACAAAAATACACTTTATCTGAATAAACAGCTTTTTTTCGACGGAATCAGATTTCTGACCCCCAAACTTTAAGGGGTAAGGTCGCAATCTGAGAAATATGGTCCCATAGTTTGGTCAGGCGAGCGATCCTAAGTTTGAACCTTATAATGTTAATTTTATTTTTTGAGTATTTCGCCATATCTCGTGAAATTGAATAGTTTTCGCATATAAATATAAAATATATATATTATGTTTATCGAAAGATAATCCCATGTAAAAAATAAATTTTAGTAAATATTTATTATATTTTATTTAATACATAATAGTCTAAAATTTTTTGAATTGTAAGGTATTCATTTTTTTACATAATTTTAAGGTATGTAATTTAACATGACAAAATACAAAATTTGAGCGAAATCGGTTGAATAATTCCTGAGAAATCGAATTTTGAATGTACGACTTCTTTTAAATTCGATTTCTCAGGAACTATTCAATCGATTTTACTCAAATTTTGTATTTTGCCATGTAAAATTATTTACTTTAAAATGATGTAAAAGATTGTATGCCTTACAATTCAGAATTTTTTTCGACTATTACTTAATAAAATAATAAATATTGACTAAAATTTATTTTTTGCATGGAATTAATGCCTTTGGAGGAACGATTTTTATAGTTATGTTCAAAATTTTTTGTAGTCGCTTAAAAAGTTCTCGAGAAATGGCAAAATACGCAAAAAAATAAACTTGACAATGAGGGATCCAAACTTTGGACCGCTCCCCTGATCAAACTATGGGGACCTTAATTCCTAGATTGCGACTACCCCCTATATTTTGGGGGTCAGAAATCTGAATCCGTTGAAAAAAAGGTATGTTTATTCAGAGAAAATGCGTCTCAGTGTCTGATTTCGTAACTTAAAATATCACTTATGCATATTACTTTTTCTAATTAGCATATTTGAAGTTACCCCCTTGAAGCATTAAGATTGAGTTCTAGAACGCGACGATCCCATTATTAGATCAAAAATTATTCAGGGTGGTCTGTTTTTATTTTTTTACGCGCTGTACACTCTTGTACCGTTTCAAAAAAATAATAATTTTTGTTTTCATTAAATTAATTAAAGCGGCGAGCTCAAAAAAATTCAACCAAGATTTAAAATCACTAAAAGACTATTCGTATTTATATCGTCTTTGAAGCAAAACGTTTCTTAACCTTTCTCTAAAAATGTACAAACGTTTAAATTTTTTTACACAATACTTAATATATTGCCTTGTGAGACTGAAAGGTGCACGATGAAAATTTTCTGAAACAGCGAAAAGATTTTCTCTGCTTAAATATTGAAGTTCATTAAAACCAATTTTTTTAATAATATTTTTACAGTAGACCATCTTAAAAAAGATGGTGAACTTTATTTTGTAATTTATTTTATAGAAATAGCAGTATGATTTGAATGAAGTTAAATTCATGAAAAAAATATGAGATTCGTGTTACATTAAGCCTATAAATATTTTTGCTCTAAATGATCAGGAATTCTCATAAAATAAAGAATCTTACTCAATATCTTTTAAAATATTGCTCTATATGAATGTTGTGGAAAATTAAGCTCTTAGCATATTTCTACACTTTGTAATAAAATCCTATGTTTCTAAACTGTAAAAAAAGGCATACTAGCCAAGTAACTTACGTATTTTTGATAATTAAGGAACACTTTAAAATTATTAATGGAAGCTTGCGAATTTGACTGAAACAAAATTCAGCACCTTTTAGCATATTTTACAAAACGTTACCTAAAATATAAGTCGTTTTATGATATATTTTAAAGACAGTAGAAATATAAAATTCAGGTTACTTAAGCAAACGTTATCAGCTAAATTTTTAAGAAGATAGCCAATAATTGCACACAAATAAAGAATAGTAATCCACTCAGATATCTTGATTTCTAGCTGCCTTATGGCTACGTAATTCGTTTTATTGTGTGACTATATATATATATACTGAAATCTAGAGATAAAATCATCAGTTTTATTAAAATTAACATAAATTTCTGCTTCTTTTTTAGTAAACTCTGAATTTGAGTAAACTAGGCTTAGAATTTGTGGTAAAATCTTTGTTTCTAATTTTTGAATTAAATATGGTTTTAAAAATGTCTTATGCATAACCATCGAAATATTCTACAGAGAATGCACTAAGTGTTAGTACTTAGTATTAAAACTTGTGAATATAGTTTTAAGTCCTCCGTGTTCCATATAGATGATATTTTATAATATATTCTTTTTTTTAAAAATTATACCTAAAATAAAAAAACTTATCCGAAGCTTAGTAAGTATTTTTTGTTGTTGTTATTATTATTATGCTATTGAAAACATACAAAAACACATTCCAATAAATCAGTTAACTCCATTAACCCCCAAACAAACACCTTAAAATGCTTTTAAGCACTATAATTTTTCTAATTTTAAAAACTGTACTTGATATAGATGTCATGTTTAAGGAACATTTCGATTTTAAATTATCATTCTAAAAGTATTTACAGATGAATGAGTTTTGTCAATTTGTTTTAGTAGTTATGATTGTTTAATTAAAAGCGTTTGGAATAATATTAAACTCATGCCTCCCATTTTAACCTATGGTGAATTATAAGCATAATTCTCCCCTATGAGCCACTAAGTAATGTTTCAGAATATTTTTTGTTTCATTTTATTTGTTCAAATGTGTTTTATGATACGTAGTAGAGAAATTTTAATTTATATTATTTTAAGTATTTTTTTAAAAATGCTTTCAAAAGCTCTATTATTAAAGCGGCAAAGTTTAAAAAATACTTAAAAATTAAAATTTGGTAACTAAGCTCCATAACATTTTAATAAATAAAGCGAAACAAGATATATTTCAATAAATGGGATATTGATTTTTCTATAATTCTTCAAAGAATAACATAGGAAAAGTGTAGTTAAAATATCACAGCAATTCTCAACGTGTACGATTTTGAGAATGAGAATTCTGAAGTTCGTCTATAAAACAGAGGATTAACTTTAAATATAGTTTAAAAATTATAATAAAATAATACTTTAAATTTAGGTACATTTTTCAAAATTTTAGTATTTATTTTTTGTTCATCAAAGATTAACATGGAAAAAAAAAAAAAAACNAAAAAAAAAAAAAAAAAAAAAAAAAAAACGTTTTTACGAGTGAGAATTCTGAAAATCTTAATTTCGTCAGTAAAACAGAAGATTAACTGCAGATATAGTTTAAGAAATACTTTAATATAATTTTAGGTACATTTATCAAAAATGTATTATTTATTTTTTATTATTTTATACTAAAATTAGAAGGAAAAGTCTTAATATTTTAGAGCTTCCCGAATTCTTACAATTAAAATTAATACTAATTTGAGTTCGAGAATAGATTTATTTTAAAAAATTTCCCTGATCATATTCCATTTTAATTATCCTGCTTTATTAGGCTAAATAAACAAGGATAAACGAAACCTTGCGACATCTCTTCGGAACATCCTTTTTTATTAGTGGCTATTTCGTCTGAACATTTCAGGAAAAAAAAAAGTTCTTTTCTGTTTTAATCAACGAAAAGTCGTTGTACTCAAACATACATGAAAATCCCATCTACCGTGACTGTTGTTTTTAACTGAGCTAAACTACTTTATCCTTATTCAAGTCATGAAATGTTTTGTTAAGGTATGTTATATTAAAATTGATAAATAGTTTTATTCTCTTAAAAGCATTGGTTTTAAAATAATTGCTACTGTATATTGTTCTTTTTAATCTTACGAAAATATTCCACACATTATTTATTTTTAAAGCTAAATTTCGAAAAGTAAGTTAATTATTTTAAATTTTTTGTGGGATATTCTCATAACAAATAAAGTACTGATTTGTATCATGATAATTGACAATAAAATAATTTTCATTTTTTATTAATTGTTGAGTTTTTGCTTCCATACTGCCTCAACAATTTAATTTCGAGAAAAAAGATTCTTCGCGTGAAATTTTGATTTTAAGTTAAATTTCGAATAAATTGTGTACTATTTAAAAATTTATCCGGAATAGCCTTATAAGAAAACATTACTTTTTTATAAGCAGAACTGCAATTAAAAAAAATAACAATAAAATTATTTTTATTGTTTATTACTCATCCAATTTTTGCTTTTAAATTGCTGTAATAATTAAATTTCACGAAAAAATTCCGTGCATTAAACTTCATTTTTTAATTTAAATTTCAACTAGAAAGTCATGTAATTCAAAATTTACGCAAACAAAACGTTATTATTTTTTATTTACATTAAGCATCATAGCTATAATTAATTGCTGAATGATATCGTGACCATAAACAATAAAATTAAAGTAAATGTTGAATTTTTACTTTTAAATTGCTGCAACTTTATAAAAAAAAATCTAATTAATTGTTTGAGTGAAAACTCGAAATTTAAGTTATGTATTTGAAACTTACTTCAAAATAACATTTTTTACTACTTGAAAATTTATCCAGAATAGCCTTCTAGGAAAACATTACTTTGTTATAAGCAGAACTGCAACTAAAAAATAACAATAAAATTATTTTTAATGTTTATTAATTATGTAATTTTTGCTTTAAAATTGCCCTAATAATTAAATTTCACGAAAAAATTCCGCGGATTAAACTTTATTTTTTAAGTTAAATTTCAACTAGAAAGTCATTTATTTCAAAATTTATACATTTAATTTTAAATTGCCTCAACTTTATAAAAAAACTTTATGAGAAAACTCGAAATTTAAGTTATGTATTTGAAACTTACAAAATAACATTTTTTTATTACTGTATGTAGTATCGTAATAATAAATTACGCAATGATAACTTGAAAATAAAAAAATTTATTTTATTGTTCATGAATTAATGAGTTTTTTCTTCCGAACTGCCACAACATCAATATTATATATCCCAAATTTATGTGCACTTTACAACTAAGAAATTTAAGTGCACTTTATAACTATACTTATGTGGACTTATAACTATTTCCATTTAATCTTTAAAATTTACGACCCTTTAATTAGTGAATTAATTTCTTGTATTGATATGAACAAGGCGTTCATGAGAGAAACGTTTAATTTATTTTCGAAAAGGCTGTTTTTTTTTCGTTTTTTTTTCTGCTAAATTGAGTTTCAAAAAGTTAAAGAAACAAATTTTTAAATAGACCCGAATATTTAAATTTTTATTTCATAAAAATCTTGGCTATCTTTAAAGAAATATCAAAAATGAAACAATTTCACTGCCACTTTTTAACTTTAGGAATTAGATACCTGCAAGTGACGTCATCGTAGGTAAATCGTGCGATTTGTCGATTCAGAAGCCAATGAGGTTCACGCATGAAGTTGCTTACAGGATTCCCGTTAAATCTGATTTAAATCTTATAACTAAGCATAATTACTTCAATTCTTCTCGAGTTCAATTCTTCAATTCTTCGAGTATCCAATTATGAACGTAGTAAATACTTTAAAATAACATCGGTAAATAAAGGGATTAGGTCTGTTGTCTCCTAGTATTTTAATATTAGAAGACTTAGATTTAATATTTTATGCTAGTTTTTAAAACTCTATTCTGAAATTAGTTATATCCTAATTACTTATTTTTTCACATTTTGCTCAACTCTAATTATTGCAGTGCACTGATTTCTCACCCAAAACTATCTTAATGTGTCTTGTTTTGCTAAAGAATATCAATAGTCTACCACATCATTTGTATTACTGGTATATAAGAGTTTTTATATTTCCTATAAGGAAATGCAAAGGCAGAAATCAGTTTAAAAATTTTTGTTCGAAATTTTGAAATTCCAAAGTGATATTTTAAGTTTTACGCATCTTAAATTATTGCTATACATTAATTTTGTTGCCCAGAAAATGTCTTATAACTTATTTCGATACCGTAATCATGTTTTGGTCACCGAGGTAACTTTAGCCAGTTTTGCGGGATACAATTCGAGTTTTGGAACAATGATTTTAATACTATGTGTGTTTTAAAGGTAAGTTTATAAAGCTTTACTTTTATTTATGATACTTTTACCATAATTTATTCATTTCATTAACTGTAATCATAAAAATCATAATTAATCCCTTTAACCCCCCTTATAAACATAATTTCAGATGTTCTTTTCATGGTGTTTTACTTCCCTATTAAATTTTTTGTTTTTAATATTCTTATTTTATTGCTATTTCCTGTACTGAGAAACAAAGGCAATACACTTTTTTCGCTAAACCGAGTTTTTTAAAAGAAAGAAAAATCTTTAGCCCAGACTACGAGAGTTGGTCAAATCAAAACGAATCATCAAAGGTGATTCGAAATAATAGAACTAAACCTTTGCTAGAATCCCTGTTTATTATTCGTTAGCTCAATAAATTCAATTTCCGACCACTCTGGTTAAAGTTCTTTTATCATCCTGCTAACCACGGGAGATTTCCATGAGCTTTACTTATTTATTTTTTCGTGTTACCCAAATACACGTAAGTTTCACAGATAAAGTTCTCTAATGCAAATTTGCCCTTTATTTGTTGCTTGATTATTTGGGATTTAAAAATCACTAGGATACAGTGATGGAATCCTAACATGAAGGACAGGGACAGAAAAACCGAATACGAATCTTCTGTCAAAATTGGTTATGAGATAAAATTTCTCACCGAGTGTTGAAAAGTTATAAAGATTGTACTATGATAGATCTCATTATGGGTAAATTATGTATAATAGTTATCGGATAATTTTGAAAAAAAACGTGATAATTAAAATATTTTTCATTTAATACGGATGAGTGACTAAATCTAAACAATAACAGACTTCCATTAAAACAGGCTTCCATAACAAACAATAACAGGAAGAAATATAGAAAATCTACAGTGTTTTCCTCCGCTTTATGTTACATTTACGAGACGATGTGTGAACATGATTGATATTCAAGGAAATTTTATTATTGTGATTTGTGTTTAAATTTACACGTAATTTCACCATTTATTAGAGATTTCTTTAAATTTTAAATTCCAAAAGACCGTAAGCCTTAAATAAATTTAAGAAAATTTATATCACAACATAAATAAAGCATAAGGTTCGCCCTGTTTTGAGTTTTATCCCTTATTAGGCTATATCTGTGTAAAATATCACTGTTTGTTATTTTTTGTGCAGCATTATAGCATGGTTGTGGAGTTGTCTAAATTCGTTTTCAGCTATAATTAAGCGAATTAAGCTTATGTTAATATGAAAGAACGCATTATTCACTAATAAATGCTATTGAAAAGCAAATGAAAAATTAATTAATTTTAATCTCCTCTCTTAGCAGATGTCTTTACTTCATAGCAGAATTTTACCTTGATCATTCAATATTAGAGCTGTTACCTAAAATTTCTTTCAGAAACTTTTTTTTAAAATTAAGTTTAAAAAAAAATCTTAAAAACGCGTGTTTTTTAAATAAGTGCATAATCATATTCTATAGAACTATATTTCGTAAAATATTTATTGAATTGAAAATTATGCGATTTTCATTTGCTTTTGCATAAATATTATAATTTCCAACTGAGAACCCGGTATCAGCCTCGTAATAAATCCAAACTTTTCGGGTACCTGAAACCCGGGCGGTACGAAATTTTTTTACCGGACATCCGGAATCGGGAGTTTAAAAACTTAACGTCCTCTTTTTCACTCCCGTCAAAATGACGAGGTGAAGTTTCACCCGCTATTTATCGTTCCCGTGATGTTTCCGGGCTGGAGTGTTCAAAATTGACGCACCAAAAAGACTAAAACAATCTGTGACTTATGCTCGGAATCGTGTATATTTCTCAATTTATGCACCAGGTGGCAGTGCCAGAATATTTGTAATAGTTTATGTTAAACAGGATAGCACTCATCAAACATGTATAATTGCGATTAAACCAAAAATTGAAAATGAATCCATTTTACATGCACCTTGTTTCATATGATTTTCTTGAATAAAAAAACAAGTTCTTCTGTTGCCATTTTCTTCAAAATTATGCAACCATTAAGGAGTTAATTTTAACTGGATACCCGGTACCCGGTCCCAGCAAAATTTTAAATCTCTAATATATATACTTCTAATTTTGTGATGAAAAAAAACTATATTTTTTAAAACAATAAAATTTAATACTGCGTTTTGTAACAATACTTTTTTTAAGGTCGAGATATTTTAAAGTATTAGTGAGAGGTTTTATAAAATGGCAATTTTTTTCCATCTTTTTTTCTTATTGATTCCAGTAAAAACGTTTTTGGGTTGTATTTATAATGTTTTTTAATTATGTGTCGTGCCCCCGTTTATTAATGAGCTGCAACAAATAAATTTCTTCTTATTCATTGATGTTAAACTTATTAATAAAAATGTAATCTTTTTGAAAAGGAATTTGTCAATCGCTGTGTCCCTCGCATCCTTCAGGGTAAAGGAACACAGGATTGAAAAAGAATTGTTGCAACATAATTACATTAAAACTAATTCAAATCATGCGACATAATGAAAATGTCATTCATACCTTATAAGGAAAATGCGATTGTAAATAAGACTAATTTTAACATTCTATGTACTCTTTGTTTAATATTTGAATTTGTTTAATGTTTAATTTTTAAATATTTGAAATTTATGAAAAATTAACAGAATATTCCTATAACATTCTTTAACACTGATTACATATTACTTTTCAGGCTCATTTAACATTGGGATTTTTATTGCTTTTATTCCGGATCGCTAAAAGTGACAACAGTGATGAAGATGATAAAGAGGAAGAAGAATTTGGTGGAGTAAACATAAAAGTGTTCAGGGGACCTTCGAAGAAAAATGGAAACGAGTCATTTGCACCTTTTGGGTACCACGTGAAAATGCCACCTATACATTCATCCAAGTCTCTGAAAAAGAAAGTTGTCAATGATCAAGATGATCAAGAAAAACCTTTTGATTTCAATTCCAATGAGGACGAGCCATTTGACTTTTCCAGTCATGAGAGTGACCTAAAAAAAGAAACAAGTGATGAACAAGATCAGAATGAAGAACAGTTTGGTTTTAATAGTAATGAGCATGATAAAGACGAGAAAGATCTTAGTAAAGAACATGAAAAAGATGATGATGATTTTAGTGGAGAACACCATGAACCTAATGCACACAACAAACCATTTGATGGAAGCGAAGAAGGCGGTGACAGCAATGAAGAACTCGATTTTGAAAATCAAGAACGTAGTAATAGATACAATCATTTTCATAATTATAATAAAGACAACCATCCTAAGCCACGCCATCACGATTATCTAAATGTGTATAATAATGATCGTGATCATCGCTCTAAGCCACTCAACTATGTCAGCAAAAATTACGATCATCACAATTTAGATCAAAATGTTCCCTTCGTTGGTGAAAGTACCAATCACATTAAAAAGAAATTTAACGATTTCAATATTCGCCCTGATGGTGTGTTTGGTAGAATGCCTTCACATTCCGTTGGTGAAAGTCACGATCGGTACAAAAAGTCAGATGGAAGCATTATACCTTCAAGTACGACTAATAGATACTATAATAAATATGAACACACTATTCCTACTGACTCTACTTTAAAATACTACAATCAAGACAGAGAATACAAAAGTGGTATATTACCTGCAGCAATACCCGCTAAAAACTACAATTATAATCATTATAAAGAATATCGTAGGAGCCTTTCACGTTAAACATTTCAACTGATAAAGCGAATTCAATGTTAGCTCTTACATCATGACAGCAGTACACATAACTAAAAGAAACTTCGATGTACATACCAAACTGTGCTATTCGATTTTTGCGATAGTGAAGATCGTAGTTAAGATAATTGAAAAATTCGTCTAGAATTTCCAGTCTAGTTCGCTAATAAAGAAAAACATTTGATCAAAGAACGAGTTTGGAATAATGGAACGTTTGATTCACTCAATAAGCAGAAAAATCCATTTGAAAATCAGAATATGGTCATTGATCTTATCGTTCTTCCAAAATAAGATATTTTTGTAATGAGCCCATATATTTCTCTGAAAAAAAGCATTTTCAATATAACGAACAGTTAAGCTTATATAATAAGGAAAAGAGTTATATAATTACAGCAATAAAGAACAATAATTATAAAAATTTATACAACTATAATCATGAGACTAAAGAATTTACAAGTCCAAGGCAGAAATGTTTTATGATGCATATTTCACGTTTTTTGAGTGACTTAATTATTAAGAAATATATATATATATATATATATGGTATTCCATAATGACCTCCCTTATTATGCGTATTTTTAAAACTCTTTTTAAAAAATTAAATTAAAAAAATACACACGCATGGAATTACAAATTAATATTTAAGCAAAATGAAACAATAATGAAGCAAAAGCATGAATTGTTGAATTTCGAGCAAATGAAGTTGATATGAAAAACATTCAAACCTGTTTGATTGCCTGATGAAACACGGAGGGCTTTTTAAAAATCGTCTTTCAACTTTTCTCTGTTTTTTTTCTGATAATTAAATTGTTTTGTGTGCTTTTAGTCCCGCCTTCCTCAGTACTGATACGTATGATAATAACTTTTTTTTTCTGTACAAATATTAATTTTGACCCTAATGCTGATATTTTTTTAACATAATTTGAAAAGTATTTTTAAAATACCCATTAATAGGTATCATTGCAGTGGGTAGTTCGATGCATAATTTCTTTTTTAATGTTTAGTTATTGTTTTATTGCTAATATGACTCTTTATCCACGACTACGAAATTAATCCCAATATTTAAAATAAAATGTACTGTTAACAGCATGATGCAGAATTCGTAAAATACTTCAGTTGGTTGAGTTAACAAAGGTTAATATTGTAGCACAACTATTTAAGGGAGTTAATGCCTGTAATTGCCATCTTGTTTTTGTTATCATTTAATACTGAAATTGTATACTGTTATTATTTGATATTTTAATAAATTATATTTATTTTGGATTTTATTTGACCCCAAGAAATATATACTATTTCGTCCAGTACAGATAACTACCAAACAAAAATGGAGATGGAGGAAAGAGAGGATGAGTTCTAAGAGATAAGAGAGAGAGAGAGGGTAAAAAAAAAAAAAAAGACATGTCAAACTTTTTTTGCACAATCACGTTGTCTCCTGAAGCATTATTATTCGGGCTGATAACTTTTATTTTCCTTAGAATAATATATGCGTTTTTTTTTCTTTCATATGCACATAACAATTGGGATTCAATGTATTTAATTTAATTTTTTTTAAAAATTTTATGCTTTAAACTCTTTTCCCTTATTATCTCATATTTCTAAATAAAAGATACAACTAATACTCATATCGATTATACTGAAAAAATAGCTTAAAATTCATTTTTTTGGATATGTCACGTTTTTTTTAGTACAGTTGAACTTTAATATTTTCTTGAAACCAAATAGTATCACACTGCATTTGACTGGCTAGATTGTATTTAGAAGATTTTGTAAAAAATCAAAAACAATACTAATTATTATAAAACAACAACAACATAATTTTGGTTAATAAAATCAAATTATACGATATTTAAACTATTCATTTGTTAATTTTTCTGTCTATATGATACCGGTTTACCGTACATTTTGGTTTTCAAAGTTATAGTTCTTGTAACCACATATCTAGTAAAAAATACATAACTGAAAAGTAAATTTAACAGAATAAATAATTTTTAAACCAGGCTCTAAGTTATCATGATAAATTACCAAATTTTGTCATTTTTATAAATTTTATCACAGCTTATAAAATAATATTGTTATTTTTACCAAAATCATTACCAGAGCGATTCAGTATAAATTAACGAGCTTTTTGGACTTTCCAAAAAGCCAGAAACGAGGTAAATTTTACCATATTCTGGTACTTAATGCTACTTATTTTTCTCAGTGCAGTAATTAAATAATTAATAAGTGCAATTACTAATTCAATACACGTAAACAATGATTTTGGTTTTATAGTTACTTAGATACGGATTCTATAGATACGGAAAAAAAGCATAGGCATCTGAAACGCAACATTGACACGCTGATTACGATAGAAACACAACCATTTGGTAGTATTTAATATGTAATTGCAGGTGACATTAGTTCTATTTAAAGATGATAATCATGACGTATATTTTAGTTAAAGTGAGTAATCAGTTAGCTGCTCTTTTTTGCCATTGGTGACCGAACGGTACAGTTGGGAAAGTCTGTGTTCCGTGTCGCAAAAGGTGTCATCATATGCCGGCATAGGAAGATGTAAGAGACTTGATTTTTGGAAACATACCCCTCTTTCGGGTATGACTCATAAGCAAACAAATACATCAGCTTTAAAATAACTCCGAGTGAAGCGTTCCAGCTCAGAAAAGTTACATTTTTTACCACTGAAATAATGGGCTTTTTTCGAAAAAGTATGCCATGTAGTTGTATAAATTCTTACCCAACAAAGAATCATAAGATGCTATAAAAAACAGAATGTATTTTATTCATGATTGTTAAAATTAAAGGACATTTTTTAATGACATTCTGAATTAATGTCTTTAAATAAAATTATTCCTTTATAAATAATAACTTAAACATCTATTTTGTATTTTTAAAGCTTTAATAGCTTTTTACAACATTGTGAGTCAAATTTTTCCTATTTTCATATCTATTAAATTCATATTTTCTAATAGATATGAGCTAGTATGGACATTTAAAATATCCGAATCAAATTACGGTGAAAAGTATCGGCACTCAGGGTTCCGGTACTTTTTGCCGTAAAATTCATTTCTACCAGAACATGTCTCGAAACCAAAAATCTCATATACCGTCATTTTTACGTAATAGTTACCGTTTAATATCTGAATCACTCTAACTGAATAAATACTACTGTAAAATTTATGGATTTTCGGTACGGTATATTATTTATGGTATAATGTTTTACGGTACAAATGGATATTAAGGTAAAATGGATTTAAAATATGGGAGAACCAAAGTGTAGATATTTTATACCACAATTTGATCCGGATATAAAGTAATATAATTATTTATTTTATGTTTTTTTCTATATTTCCAGTTTTTTTTTCATATAGAATAATAGAGCTAAATATGTTTTAATAAGGTTGATTGGAAATTAGCTCACGCTGAAGCAATAAAAACACGTTTTTCAAATATTGTGCTAACAATTTGAACAACAAATTAACAATGAAAAATATTGCTGAACAATCTAAACGTACAGTAGCGATTTCCGGAGAAAATATGTAAAATGCCTAGCACTTTTAGTTAAATTATGAAATTCGAGAATTATTATATAATTTACCACATGATATCTACTTGGCATTCTATATAATGCTTGGTAATTGGCAAAGTATGAAAGTCGATAGGTCTATTATATTAGATCTTTAATTGAAAAAATATTTAAAAAATAAATTAAAAAAATTGATTTGATGAAAATACCAAAAAGCTGCCCTTAAGGAGGCATATTATTTTTATTAATGACAATGCATAAAATATAGGCATTCATTAAAATACCTATGCATTTCACTAAATGCTAGGTATAGTTTATACTTTGACAGTGTGGCATTTTATGAAATTAAGGCAATTTGTGTTATATTTAATCGTATTTACCTTGAAATTCAGTTTTTGATATTCTATAAAAAGCCAAGATATTCTATACGTTACCGAATTTCAAACGTTGTCAGAAACGTATGTATAGAGACAAACGTTCAATAATGTGAGAGATAGAGAGGAGAAGATATGCGTATTTCTCTACTATCTACATCAACCAAATTTCAGAAAAGTGTTCATCTGTAAAACAGTGTAAGCGAAAAACCTGGTTATTCTTTATTAAAGACCTGTTTTATTTATGAAATGAGGAATCGTATAGTAAATAAATACACGCACAGATAATTTTTACATAATATTTAATCTTTTGAACTATATTTAAACTAGATAAAAAAAATTAATTATGTGAAACAAAATGTTTGATAATGTAGATTTTTTTTGAGATATATGAAAACAACTTCACTAATTTGTATCTTATTTGCTTCAAATATTAGTCAGTTTGTATTTTCATTGAATGTGACATATTTATCATCGTATTGACAGCATGTCGGGCAAAACATGCCTCAAAAGACAAAATTGGACAATTAATTAAACATAAGCTATACTCGTTATAAAAAAACAAGAAGAAAAACAAAGTTTTACATATAACTGATGACATTAAATCCATGCTGTTATATTAATAAGCAAAAATCGGATAAAGTTAAAGGAGTTTGCGAAATAGGAAAAACACGGTTTTCAGAAAGCTTCCATTTAAAATATCAAAAAACCCTTTTTTGGGCCAATTATTTCTAAATGATCAAACGTAAAAAATTTTCTTTTCCTCTCTCCGAAACCATTTCAATTTTTTCCCATCATAATTAGAGAAGATATTATGATAATTGAGAGAAAGGAATTTACTCATAAGCTGACCTATCACATCCTGCCTTTTCAGTTTTATTTCTCAAATTCTCATTGTTTCCTTTATTTTTAAATGCAATATCTTAAAATCTGTTTGCCCCATTGAATATTCGCCTGTCCACTTAAAAGTATGCATATATGTATATTTTTGCATATATGTCTATGAAATATGACTATACACTAGCTAACTGAAATATTATTTTATTTTTATAACCAAATCTTTATAAAAGTTAAACTTAATTTACACCGGCGTTGCAATTAGGTTGAGATATTAGCAATAAATCATTTAAAAATCTATATTACAACTAATTCACAGTCTATTCATGTAATGCATTATTTACAAACACATTGGAGCAATAATAATTATTTTAAAAAAAAGATGACTTGAAATCAAAGGAAATTTTTTTAGCAAATTCTACTTAGTTTTCACCCTTTTACATTTTAAAGTTTTAATGCACAATACCTAGATAAATCAAAAATTAAAAAATACTAAACTATACTAGTGTGAAAAAGTTTTTAATCAAACTCAATATTATAGATGGTTGATTGTAAATAAAGTAAAATTATGGCTTAATTCCATTTCTAAACTTGCTTCGTATGTTTATCAACAAAAAAGCAAAGTCAGTGCTTTGAAAGTTACTTTAAATCAAATACAATTTTCATATCAGTCCGGTATTAAATGAATAGTGCTTTTCATGTATTGCGGTTTTTGTACATCAAAGTAAGTATTGAATGAATTTCTTTGTTATAATAATATTTAGTTGAAATACAATGTTAAATATTACTAATCTGTTAAAATTACTAATCAGCATAGGTCTTTTCATAGGTCTTGCCTATTTAATTTCAGAACACACATAAATTGTAATTTTATGTGTATACTATTAGTTTAATATTGGCACTTGTTTTTATAGAATTTGTTCTTACATGACCCGAAATATAAAAATAAGAAAGAAATATTCAACGGAGATTAAGGCAAAGATTCAAATTTTATCCGAAAAAGTTTACATCTACGATTATATATTAAGAAGATTAAAACTTTTAAAATCTAGTGCAACATATATGTTAAAAAAAACGCACAGGTTGACCCAAAACCTTTGCTCGCTGAAGTAAATATTTCAAAATTTTGTCTCAAAAGGTATTCAGAGAAATATTTACGAATAATAAGCATTCATTCCAATATGCGTCAATGTAAAATAAGAGCATTTTCATTTATTTGCATGCATTTGTCATTTCTTTGTAATTCAGATTGCACTCTTAAAAAAATATTTTTTTTTTACAAATGAGAAATTATTAAAAAAGTGATTGCATTTTTTTAAAAAATGAAATTTTTTAGTGGTTTTGTTTTGTATTAAAAATTACATAATTTTCCAGCTAAATTTGTCAGCCATCATAGTTTGAAACAGATGGCCGGAATTAAGTGTTTTACTTTACACATTATCTGTTAGGTCTTCTGTTCCATTCTGTCTTCTTAATGCAGATTCTTGGCAAGCTCTTCACTCTTTTGTCACGGAAGTGAAATAAGTATA